AGATGAAATGGGAACTAAAGCTCATGAAACTATATCTGGCAGATTTAAATTGCCAGATCCTCCACTTGATGTTTCCCAATCTCGACCAAAGATTAGCATTCCTGATCTGTATCATCCATTTAATTCAGTATGTTCTCTTCTCTCTCTCACACACAATTTGCAATCTGCCTAGTTGGTCATATATTTGTGTGCTTATGTTGCACTGTTTTATTTGCAGCATCCTCTCATTTTCCCGCAAGGCAAAGGTTCTACTGTTAATTTAGAGAACTCCGCCAGTAGTTTTGCAGCCTTTCAAGAAAAAATGGCACTGCCCAAACTACCTTTTGACGAGAAGTTGTTGCCCAGATATCCATTTCCTACTGGGAACTTTCCCCGTCCACACCCTGATTTATTCCCAAGTTTGTCATTAGGATCAAGAGTCGCAGATGTGAACGAGCCACATCATGACCATCCAACAATGCCATTGTTTCCAAACCTCAAATTTCCTATGCCGCCTGATGCGCCAAGGTGTAATCAGCAGGAGCCAGAGGTGCCTCCAACACTAGGATTGGGACAGATGCCTTCTAAATTGTCTCCATTTCCTGAAAACCATAGGAAAGTTCTTGAAAATATAATGCTAAGAACTGGATCAGGATCAGGATCAGGAAATTTATTCAAAAAGAAATCCAAAATGGATATTTGGTCTGAAGAAGAACTGGATAACCTGTGGATTGGGGTTCGCAGACATGGACGGGGCAACTGGGATGCTATGTTGCGAGATCCTAGGTTAAAATTTTCCAAGTTCAAAACTGTGGAAGATTTGTCAATGAGATGGGAAGAGGAACAGACCAAAATTTTGGATGTACCAGCATTCCCTGGCAAGGGACTCAAGCCCCCTAAATCAGGGAAATCGAGCTTGTTTCCATGTGTCTCTGATGGAATGATGACTAGGGCATTGCATGGAAGTAAATTTAGTGGACCATTGAAATTCCAAAACCAGTTTACAGACTTGAAATTGGGGTTTGGTGACTTGCCTCCCAGCTTATCTCGTCTGGAACATGCTGATCATCTCAGCCACATATCTCCTCTTCCGACATGGAATCCTGACAAGTACCCACTAAATGTCCCTGGAGACTTGAATGCAGGACCCTCTGATAGGTTGGGTGCTCCCTCAAAATTTCTAATGGAGTCCCCATTGCTGTTGAGTTCTTTGGGTACAAGTAGCTTGGGGTCTCTTGGTTTGAACTGCCCAGCCAGCTTCAGTTTGCCACAAAAAGAGGCAGAAGAAAGTGCAAGTAGATTTGGAAAATTATCAAGCATTCTTGATCGATCACTCAATTTCTTGCCTGATAGTAACATTAATGTGGGGAATGGTGAATCCAGTGGTTTTGCATTGCCTTCAGATGTAAGTAAGGGAAAATATAAGGGGAAAGAGGTGGCAGAATGTAGTTCACCAAAGAATAAGCTCCCTCACTGGCTTCAAGAAGCCGTGAATGTTCCTCCAAAGTCGGCTGCACCTTCACTGCCACCTACTTTGTCTGCAATTTCACATTCAGTCCGCCTGCTGTACGGGGAAGAGAACCCTACAATTCCTCCATTTACCGTTCCTGGTCCACTGCCCTCTCAACCAAAGGATCCCAGACTGAGCTTGAAGAAGAAGAAAAAGAAGAAACAGAAACTGCATATGATGCCGGAATTCCTGCAGAGTTTAAAAGGATCTGGTGATACCCTCCAAAGCCACCTTCCTGGTGAGAAAAATGGTTCAAGTGTAGTTCCTCAAGACCAATCATCTTCCATGCTTTTGAAATCACTTGCTAGTACCTCAGAATCCCCATCAATTGAACCCGACCTTGGTGTGTCTACTCTAAGTCAGAATGTGATGAACCCTTCATCCTTACCCGCTAACCCATCTCTGCAAAAGATGACTACTCCTGGATTGTCTCCTTCCCCGGAAGTTCTTCAATTGGTTGCATCCTTACCCGGTAACCCATCTCTGCAAAAGATGACTACTCCTGGACTGTCTCCTTCTCCCGAAGTGCTTCAATTGGTTGCATCCTTACCCGATAACCCATCTCTGCAAAAGATGACTACTCCTGGATTGTCTCCTTCTCCAGAAGTGCTTCAATTGGTTGCATCCTTACCCGCTAACCCATCTCTGCAAAAGATGACTACTCCTGGATTGTCTCCTTCTCCGGAAGTGCTTCAATTGGTTGCATCCTGTGTGGCCCCTGATCCACCGCCTAGCCTTACAACAGATATTAATGAAAACACAGCACCACCTCCCCTTTCTGCTGATGAAGGAACATCCCCAGCCACCCATGAGAAAGCAAACGATACCTCTGCTCCTGGCAAGTCAGGTTCATCCGAGGAGGATAAAGATCAAAGTGAGAGCAGGGATTCTAGCCAGACTCAGTCAGATCCTGCTCGAGGCAGGCAAGCATGCTGTCGAGGAAGTATCTTCAGAAGAGACTGTGTCTGATCACCTTGCTATTGAACCATGAACAATAATAGGCTTTTTTTTTTTTTTTTTAATGGACTTGACTGGAACTCTGCATGTAGTTGAAGTTGCAGAGCCTCGACCCGAACTCAAAATTTTTGTAGAGCATGATGCAATTGCACAGACTGTTAAATGAGTAAGTGTAGTATAGTTAGACCAAATTCGTAATGTAAAGCCTCTGTAAGAGAAATCAAATGAAATGAAATATATGATGGTGTAATAGTGGTATTAGAAAATGAGCTTTAGCCTCTGGTTTTAAAGATTATGCAGAAAAGGGATTTATTTTCATTCAAGTGCTTCATGTGATATAACTGTGTTGTTTCTGTTTTGAAAGTGTTAGAAAGGGGGTGATATGAGAAAATAATGAGAATCTCGACATTATGGGAATTTAAAACGTGAATTGAAACTCATTAAACTTTAAAATTTTCACTTGATAGGTTGTTATTACTGCATAAATTATTGATAGGGTGTATTTGAAAAAATTATATGGGGTGTTTTTACGGTACAACTATAGGGTGTTTGACAACGAAAATATATAGAATTATTTAAGTTAGAAAGCTACTTCTTTGAGACATGAAAGGGCAAACCTACTTTGTTTTATGATTGTTAATTATTGATGTATCATGATTTATTGATCTTTTGAATAGAATTATTTAAGTTAGAAAACTTTTGTATTACTTAAATATGAATACATAAGCATTGGTGTCTATGTTGATAAATAATTTTTTTTTATCCTTTCTCTTATTTGTACTCTGAGTTTTTATCTTGCTAATATTGCAGTGAAATCAAAGTCTGTGTTTGGATGGTAATGGGGTAGTGGCTAGAGATCAGGACCATTGGTGAATTCGAAACGCCTTATGTATATCATATTTATTTATAATGAAAATTTTAAGAACTATGCTTTCTCAAGTATATTTGATGTAGTAATGATTAACTTGTACTCATTTTATGAGAAAGTTTCTTCTTTTACTATCTGATGATGGTTTTGAAAACATTGACATAGGAAGATCTACTATGATTAGAGCTGCGAAAAATGTTACTTATACCCATTCTACCTTCTTAATAGACGATAGAGATCTATTTAATTTTACAACTATAAATCTATCTCTACAACCTTTGCAAAAATTCTATACAAATAATATGGTTCTCTACATTACTAGTGTTATGTACAAATTTTTGAAAAATTCTACAAACTATGAAAAACTATGTACTAGTGTGAGAAATGTCTAAAATGATATAGCTAACCTTGGAAATGTGTAGCAAAATGGCTACTGGCTAGGGCGCTACATTAAGGAAGGTTAGATTGTTCTTTAGAAATTACAAGTATAAAGTATGAATACAACTTTATGTGGTTTTGTTAATGAAGGTTAGACTTAGGAATGTTATATTGTTCTTTTGGGAATTACAAGTAAAAGTATGAATCCAATGGGGTTTTGGTATGAAAACTAAAAAGGTTGTATGTTTATTTGAGTGTTGAGACCCAAAATATTGTCTAGTAGTTAGGTTAATTATTGGATGATAGGTTTTTTTTTTTTTTTTTTTTTTTTTTTTTTTTTGGTATGATGAGTGTGATTTGATTGAGTTCTATTTCACTTTCTTCGTTTCTTGCACTAATAATATTGTAGTTTCTGTGCTAGTTGTGTCATTACTTAATGCATGTCTTGAATTAGGTTATTTTTTATTTATTTTTTTAATAGATAAAATTACGTGACTAGGTGATCCTATCACCTACTAAATTCCTCTAATACTCGTGTCAATTGGATTGCACTCATATACTATAAGTCTATAACTTCAACAATTTTCTTTTCTTCTCTCAAAAATAAAAGATATACTTCAACAATTTTCTATTTACTCACTATGTTGTCTATTTATTTAAAGCATATTTTTCTATAAGACCGTGCATCCGCTTTTTGATAAGTATTAATCCATATAATTTTTCTTCATAAGTAACTTTTCAACTATTTTTTTGTTGTTGTTGTTTAAAGTAAGTTTTCAACTCTTAGTATTAAATTTTGATTTAAAAGTATTATATTTTCATAAAAAATATCACATTGTTCGTCATAAGTATTACACTTTTATCTTATAAGTAACAATTAAACAATTTATCTATTATTAGTATTACATTTTTTCCTAATTTATCCATGACATGGAATTCTTAATTTTTGAAACTCAATTTTTTTTATATAAAAAGTTATTATTTTTTAAATTGATAATTATATTTTCAGAATTAATAAGTTAGTCTTAATTGTAAGTGAAAATAATATTTTAAAAAGAATTGACATTGAAATTTTGACGAATAATTTTTCATTTAAATATGCACAAAAATGTCATTTAGACAAAATCTTTTATTACATTTTTATTTTTATTTTATAGTACAATAAAAAGTTCAAATAGAAGTCCCTTTAGGTCTTCAGTTATAGAATTCTTTTATTTTATACTTTTATCATTATTTTATTTTTCAGAAAATTTTGAAATTATATTTAATGCCAATATAAATAGACATCCTTATTTTTTAAAGGAACCGCACTTTCTGCAATTAACCCTCTGCAGCAGCGCTTGCTAGACCAACATGCTCGGCCTCACTTCCGCCTCCTCCACCGCCGCCACATCAGCGAAAACCGTCGCCGGCACCGCCTATCCTCGCGTTGCGCTTCATTCATTGACCACCGGAGCTAACTGTTTCTTCAACCGACAACAGGTGCTTTCCTTTTGCCAAACTTTAATTTGAATTTGCATTTCCGATATTCCAATAACGTTTTATTTCTGCACTGTGTGGTTCAGTTTTTAAGGACGCCATATAAGCTAACTTTTCACTCAATCAAAGCCATGGCTGAAACCCTCGCTACTCCCGCCCCTGGTTCCAAATCATCTACTTCAGGTTTTTTTTTTTTTTTTTTTTTTTTTTTTTTTTTTTTTTCTGCATACATACATAGCTTCCGTACAGAACTTCTCAAGTTATTCTGAGTTTGGTACATTACATCTAATCTGAACTGTAGTCACCTCTGGATTTATCTTCAATTTTACCCAATTCAAAGTGTGCATGATGTGTTTCCACTTTAATAAAAACAGGATTTTTTTTTTATTTTTTTTTATTTTCACTAAAATCTCAGTAGAATTGAGTATATTGAACATGTGGGCCCAGTCTGATGTGTAGCATACGAAACAACACAAAGAAGATAATGTTGATCATTGCATATAGAATTCACAGTGCTGCTGCTTTTGCCATCAATTTGGTTTAGAAGCTTTCACATTTGCACCACTTATTATACTAACTAATTAGATGAGAATTTCAACTTAAAGTAGCTAAGAAACAATACATTTTTTTTTAAAACCGTTAACATGTAAACTTCATCAACTACTTTTTCTTATCCTTTTTGGAACAAAATACCAACATTATATTTTCCCTTAAAAGTATGTCCCTTGCTAAAAGAGAAAAAGAAATGTAATCTATGAGTTATTCTTATTTTAAGCAGTAATTCATCAGAAAAAGGAATGAGCAGCAGTATAACAGCAAGACAGAACATTCTGTTCCGGCTTAGGTCTGCTGTGATTGAAGGTTGCTAACAAACACTAATTGTAAAAGGTTTAAGGTTCTTCTAAGGTTTGGAGAAGTTGACAGTTTATCTTTGAGGATCTAAGGTTCACAAATCACAATGATAATTTGGGTGCTGGGCTAATTGATCAAACTAAGTAATGAGATTAGCATCTCTGTCATGGTCATTGCATTTGCATACAAGAGATAGCCAAAATATACTTCTAGGGAAAGAACTGATAGTCAATGCTTTCCAAAGGATTAGTGTTTGATGGGAATAACTTGAGGAGTTTGTAGGATTATTTTACTTTTAACATATATCTATGTTTTTGTATTTAGGAAAAAGGCAAGCTTTGATATCACTTTCTGACAAGAAGAATTTGTCCATGCTTGGCAATGGATTACAAGAACTAGGGTAAATGTTGCTACTTCCCAACGTTCTATTTATGTATTTAGATTTCAAGCTCATTGTTTTTCGCATCATGTAGAGGTGTTGTTTTTATCGTAAGAGAGTAAAGATATGAACAAATTGAAACCATCATTGCACCCTTTTCCATTTAGCCATTACTTGTTCGTATGTGCAACTCAAAGCTTCATTTACATTCTGCTCCATGGTTCAGTTTCCTTTAAATCTCATACCAGTTTTCTGGGTAGTTGCTGCAGGTATATAGTTGGCTGCACTGTTTTCCCTTTAATTGGGAGTGCCTGACTTACATTATTCACCAATAGAAACACGATGTTTATGTTGGATTGCCAGTGCATTTCTCTTACTCAGTTTCAACATCATCATTAGCATATAGCCATATACTATCCTTTTAATTAGCGAATTACCAAACAAATGTTAGCATTTGATGGTGATACACCAAATCTCTCAATCTGGTGGTCTAAGGTGTCTCACTAAGGTTTGAACTCTTTTAGGTACACAATTGTTTCAACCGGAGGAACATCAAATGCTCTAGAGGCTGCTGGGGTTTCTGTCACCAAAGTTGAAGAGCTTACTCATTTTCCTGAAATGGTAATAAATTTTGAAATGTATGAATTGTAGACCTTGTTTTTTTTTTTACTACTTTTTCTTTTCATAATAACAATAATGAAAATGAGTGAAGGAAGTTAAGACACAGCAGAGAAGTGAAACTAAATGGTTGATTATACTACAAAGAGTACTAGGGACATTTTTCACAAGACAAAATATGTATATTGCCTTTCATTTGTGAATATATGTATTACTTGCCAAAGAAAAAATATGAATGCACAAACATTGGTGTTTATCTTTATTGATAAATAATTTCTTTTTATCCTTTCTATTATTTGTACCCTAAGCTTTTATCTTGCTACTATTACTGCACTCAAATCATTGTCTGTGTCTTGGTAGATAAATTCCTTTTTATTTCTTCTTTCCAGCTTGATGGCCGTGTAAAAACTTTACACCCTAGCATTCATGGGGGTATTATGGCTAGAAGAGACCAGGACCATCATATGGAAGCCCTTGATAAACATGGAATTGGTAAGCAAAAATTTACTTTTGGATTCAGTCAAACACCTTTGGTAAATTCAAGAAGGCCTCATGTATATCATATTTATTTTACAATGGCAATTCATTAACTTTCTGTAAGAACTCTGCTTTCTCAGGTACATTTGATGTAGTAGTGGTTAACTTGTATCCATTTTATGAGAAAGTTTCTTCTTCTACTGGAATTTCATTTGAAGATGGTATTGAGAACATTGACATTGGAGGACCTACTATGATTAGAGCTGCTGCAAAGGTTTGAGATTACTGCTTACTCCGTATTATATAATTAGAGTTTATTTTGACTAAGCTTTTACCTTTTTGGGTTCTAATACATACAAATTCTGGAATACATTTACGACACCTATATAAACAAATCAGAAATAAGTAATGATGCATTTTGACAAATATCTCGCTATTGGGAAGACAAAAAGTACCCTTAATTTTATTAGTTTGGTTGTGCTACCCATTTTCTTAGTCAACCTGAAAGATTAGATAAATGAATATTTTATATTCTATGAGCTCTTTTCAATATCCAAAGGTTGTATATTCCTAAGTTGGATTGCACCTGATGTTAAACAGAATCATAAGGATGTTCTGGTTGTGGTTGATTCTGAAGACTATCCCGCACTCCTGGAATTTCTTAGAGGAAAGTCAGATGATCAACAATTCAGAAGAAAGTTAGCTTGGAAAGCTTTTCAACATGTTGCTTCATACGATTCTGCAGTTTCTGAATGGTTGTGGAAGCAGACTGGTGGAGGTATTTGCTTCTTATTGATATCATTTATTTATTGGAGAGATAATAGAAGATCAACTTTTCAATATTTTAACTCTGGAAATAATTTGTTTCATTGATATACAAAAATTTAAAGTAATCTATATTTTGTCCAATCAACTTTGAAAGTTAAATCAACTTTGACTGATAACTAATTTATATTTAACTGGTAATTGTCACATATGAGAATTGATATGTATCAGAATTTGAATCTTCTATGCTATGTAACAATACTTCAAGTGAATTTATATGATTTTCTTTTTCAAGTCGTCACCATCAAATAATAATTGTAAAACTAAATAAATATAAATTTAATAATAACAAATGAAAACAAAAAGTTGATGAGCTTTTTGTCTTTTGGAAGATGATTTCCCTCCTGGCCTTACGGTGCCTCTTTCTCTAAAGAACTCACTCCGGTATGGTGAAAACCCCCATCAAAAGGCTGCATTCTATGTTGATAAATCTCTGTCTGAGGTTAATGCTGGTGGTATTGCAACTGCTGTTCAACACCATGGCAAGGTAATCTGTTACTTCATGCAGTGTCTATGATACTGACTGATTTTATTTTATTTATTTATTAGTTATATATATTGATTGATTTTATATCAATTAATTTATCTGATATAATATTTGGAACTGCCTAATTGTTTAACTGGGATGGATTGTAAACATTCAGACATCCCATACAAACAAGTTTTTGGTGCTATGAAATTGCATTCGACCAATGATGTTGGTTCCCTGAACGCAGGAGATGTCATATAATAATTATCTAGATGCTGATGCAGCTTGGAATTGTGTATGCGAGTTCAGTAAACCAACATGTGTAGTTGTGAAACATACAAACCCTTGTGGTGTTGCTACAAGAAGTGATATTATTGAAGCATATAGGCTTGCTGTCAAAGCAGATCCAGTTAGTGCATTTGGTGGGATAGTTGCCTTCAACGTAGAGGTTGATGAGGTAAAGTTGGCTATGAACTTTTTACTCGATTTGAATAATTAGTCTTTTGCTGACTTATTTGTATTTGTCAATTGGGGGGCAGTACTGACTGCTATTGATTATGGGAATAAATATCATTTTAATATGTTGATAGGATCTTGCTAAAGATATCCGAGAATTCAGAAGTCCAACAGACGGTGAAACTAGGATGTTTTATGAGATTGTTGTTGCGCCCAAGTATACAGAAAAGGGTCTTGAGGTTCTTCGTGGAAAGTCCAAGACTTTGAGAATCCTTGAGGCTAGTAAAAATAGCAAGGGAAAGCTCTCACTTAGACAGGTTGGTGGGGGTTGGTTAGCTCAGGAGTCGGACGATAAGACCCCGGAAGACATTCAGTTTAATGTAGTTTCTGGAAAGACTCCACAAGAAAGCGAGCTCAGCGATGCCCAGTTTGCATGGTTGTGTGTCAAGCATGTGAAGAGCAATGCGATTGTGATAGCGAAGGTCTTGTTTTTATTTCCCTCCCTAACGTGTGATTCTTCTCATTTAAATTGAAGTAAAATAGTAAACAAAGTGGTTACTAAATCCCGATTATGGTATTTATGATGCAGAACAATTGCATGCTTGGTATGGGAAGTGGACAGCCAAACCGTCTCGAGAGTTTAAGGATAGCCTTGAAGAAAGCCGGGGATGAAGTCAAAGGAGCCGCATTGGCCAGTGATGCTTTCTTTCCATTTGGTAAATACTCTTTTAACATTTTAATTTGCAAGCATAAGAATTATTTAGTTCTTCCCTCGTGAATAAATACCCTTAGGGTTGGATCCTAATGTATTCATGTATATACTCTACGATTAAACTTTGCTCTTCGATCACAACTATTATAACCATGCCTTACTATTTTGTTCGGTATATTAGTTTATAAATTGGAAATATTTTTTGGTTATGCAACAGCATGGAACGACGCTGTAGAGGAAGCTTGCCAAAGTGGAGTTAGCGTAATAGCAGAACCAGGAGGCAGCATCAGAGACCAGGATGCCATTGAATGCTGTAACAAGTATGGAGTATCGCTGCTTTTCACCAATATAAGGCACTTTAGGCACTAAACTATATCGGCTATGGTTTTTCCCTTTTGATGATATCTTGGCTAGGAGCACAAGTCGAGGAGAGATATGTAATAATATGCAGGCTTATATTAATGTCATACATATAATATTTTTCCAAATGGTGTTTTAACGAGCAAAGCTAGACACTCTTTACTCCGATTTTTTTTTTTTTTTAAATGTTTGTTTAATGACACTTCAAAGCTTTTTTGTTTATTTTTTAGTACTACTGACTCTGTTACAATGCAATATCTGTTCATAATTACTTTCTCAACCTACTAAAGTACAAAGAGTCAATACTGTCTCCACTAAGGTTTGAACCCACAACTTTTTATATGGGAGAGCAATTTTGTGCCATCAACTGCTTGACTTTCAAAATTTTCAAGTACCCTATATTGGACAATCATTACCTATAGGTGTGCATGGGATAAATCCAATCTTACCTTATGATTTAGCTGGCAAAATAAAATGGGTTATATAAGCTTAAAAAGATGAGTAAGTTATTGTTTTTGCATACAAACAAGCTTGACAATTCCACACAAGAATAAACGTAATAAGCCATGCCTATGCCCTATGACCTGTTATTCTGTTAAATTGATTCATGCTTCTCATCCTACTAGTTCTGCTACTATGTTGAACACTTGAAAGATTGTGCACATTAGTAGGAAAATGCTCATATTCGATCAAGTCAGAAGCTATCTGCAATTCAAGTGTGTAGATGTATGAAATTATTTCTAAATCCTTGATAAGGCAAAAATAAAGCAAGAAGATTGAAGCTAAAACTGAGAAACATTGATTGATTCCAGAAAATTCAATAGATGAACAGAAGCAAGTTCAGTTTCATTCCATAACAACTTTGGCCCCAACCGCCTTCATCTTCTCAATGATTTGCTCTCCTTCGTCCTTCGAAACTCCCTTTTTGAATATTGCAGGCGCTTTCTCCACTAATTCCTTTGCTTCCTTGAGACCTAAATCAGTAACACTGCGGATCTCTTTAATTATCTTTATCTTTTGAGCAGCATCAAAAGACTCTATCTTCAGCTCAAAAACAGTCTTCTCAGGTTTCTTTTCCTCCTTAGCTGCTGCCGGTCCCTTCATTGTAGCTGCAGCCATGCCAGCTGCACCCGCCTTCATAATCCCCACTACAGGTGGTTCTGTCATTCCCAACTTCTTCATCAAAATGCCAGACAGCTCTGCAACTTCAACCAATGTAAGTCCCGAAACTTCATCAACAAGCCTCCACACTCTGTCCGTTGGAGGACTGCGATGCTCGGTTGGATCAAACGTTGCAGGGTCATAATCAGCTGGAAGTCTTCTCTGATCAATCTCTACTTCTTCCTCCTCTTCTTCCTCTTTCCTGGCAGGTTGAGCAATGTGTCGAGTGCAACCAGCTGAGGTAACTGGAAATCGTACAGTCACATTGTACAGAATAGGTTGTCTTATGAGTAGACCAGGCAGACGATGCCTTAACCGTGTAATCAAAGCCATTATACTATGCAGTAGATGACTAATAAACAACCATTTATTTGGTGCTCTCTTATGCAGCAAATCACCTCCTGTTGAATCCAGACAGCAATAAAGAACTCATGATAATATAACCAATTCCATTTCTAAAGTGAAATATAAATAAAAAATAATCTAAAAACTGAGGGCCAAAGCCAATGCACTGCAAATACAAGAAACACAGATTTAAAGAGAGATCACAACCAAAAAATTTGAGTCAGAGAGGATAGCTCAGAATACCGTGTATAAATACATAGAAAAGTAATCTGAAGAGTTAAATCTACAGAAATCAGGTCCCAGTTAGAATAATTTCTATCTTCTGCAGTATCTTACAATTAAAAAGAAGCTGGAATTTGTGATGCAAGTTTTGAAAATTCTTTCCTATATCTTCTACTTTAGTAGTACTGAAAGTTGAACAACAAATCCAGTCATGAATGAATTCCTGAGCAGACACCAAACTCATATTTCTTATTCCAAGAATGGAATAGATTTCGGTTCTTCCTCAAAAATTAAGAAATGTTCACCCAAGACACCCTACAATGTCTATATATCACATCAGCTCAAAAAATCTATTTGACAAAGCTCAAAATTATCAGAAAGTTTTTTTATTTTTATTTCTCAGTACAACAGTACATACCCTTAAATCCATGACAACCCAAATTCTATGAATCCCAAATTCACAGCCCAAAGAATACACCACACAATGTAGTCATGGGGCAACCCACAAAAAGAGCTAAAAGATCATATCTTTAAAGAGCATACACACAGAGAGGGAGAGAGAGAGAGATGTGTGCTAGAAAGAGAAAGTAACTTGAAGAATAAAATAGCTGAAACCAGAGAGTGAAAATCTGAGAGAGATGAACCCTAAAATGGGTTTAAGAGTTGATGGCCGGTGAAAGTTTGAAAATAAAAGACGGAAGCACTGTATACTGTTTTTAAAGCTTAAACACTTTCAAGTAGGGGTGGACAAATGGTCAGTCGGTTATGTAACTGACCAAAAAAACGATAGGAATTTTTTACCACCATAACCGACCATCGGTTTTTTCAGTAGATTATATCAGTTACCCAACAACCGAAAGATTAACAAATTATTCCACAATTAATAGTTAAAAATTCTAATGTGCAATACTACATAATTCCAAATCCAAAATAAATAGAGAATTACACTTGAAAATTTAAAAAAATAAAATATAACAATCCACATGTCCAAAATAATTCATCTCCAAATATCAAATGACATGCAATGATGCAAAGTGCCAAAGTCCCAAAGATACTAATCCAAATCCAAATACAGTATAGTGTAATACTACAAAGTCAAATTGCCAACTGCAGAAGTCTAAACACAGTAATGACTGTACAAACTAACAAACACACCTGACAATTGCCAAAGTGCCAAAAAAAAAAAAGTTCATTTCAAAGGCTCAATGTATAAACCCACTGTCCAGTGTCCAGTACAGGCTGTACAGCAGTACTCCAGTCAACACTCAACGCCCAAAATTGTTTATACAATTAATCAATAATACTGGTTGAACACTTAATTAATCATAAAAATGAACAACTATTTCAAACACACTGTACAAAAATTTACAAATAACATATTGTCCAAACACATTAAAAACTCAAATATTAATGAACAATTAAAGAAATGGCAGCATATAATGTAAGAAATCCCTTTTAATTTTAATTTATGTAAAAAATAAAAATTTACCTTCCAGTGTCTCAGTGAGGCAGAGCCGCTAAGTGCCTGAGTCGATGGAGTGAGTCTGAGTGTCTGACCGTCTGACTGAGGAGCGAGGGCGGAGGCCGGAGGCCGGAGGGCGTGATCGCCTGACCAGAGGAGTGTCGCCCAGGGCGGAGGGCGTGAAACGCAGAGACCGGAGACGAGGGAGAACCGTCGTCTGGAGAAGAAGAAGGAAGCCGAGAAGGGATTAGGGATTAGGGCTATGCTATTTTGTGTGTTTCGTATTGGGCTACTGGATTTTTGAATTGGGTCAAAACATAAAATTATTTCTTTGGGCTATTGGCAGAATGATAGTATTGGTCCATTGTGCAGCTTTATATATAGTATTTTCCCTGGGGGGAATAAACTTGATTGAAAGAGTGATGAACTGCTGTCAAATTCTTCTTGCAAGTTGCAACAGTTTTTTGTTGGATGCAGAAAATTCATATTTTATTAATTTATTTTGTCCCTTTCAATTGTTGTTGACGTGAGCATTGTTAGCTTGGTTTGGTTTTTTTTCCTTGAAAGTTTTGATTTCTCGACCTATTAATGAAAAATTGTATATTTTAAAATTAGATTAACTGATAAACTCGTTACGATTGCTCTCGCGCATGATAGAGAGATTTGAGTTCTCGTGGATGAGTCATTGTTTATGGAAGGCCTACTCTGAGAAGACAAGGTTGATATCAGAATCTATTGAGGAGCATCAAACTGAAGAGCGGGTGTCAATAATCATTAGTAGTCTACACCGCGTTTCCCCCTCTCTTTGTTCCAAAAAAAAAATAATTGAAAGATTAAAATAATTATTTTGTATAAATATGGAAATGAAAAACACTATTTTTTTTCTTTATTTATTCATTTTGTTATTTGCCCTTGGCAACTATGGCAAGTTGGTTCCACACCCCCACCCTATATGCTGTATGTATACAGGATTTGTACATAATGATATCTGTAATGCTTAAAACCAGTAAGAGCTCTCCATTAAAAGTTAAAACCACAAATACAACCCTCATACAAATATCAACCGGATCGGAGACAAAATAAAGAAAAATACAATCCAAGAAACATCTGTGCTCAGTTCAAAAGCTGTCCTTTAAAAATCCAAACTAAAACGAGATTTCACAAGGAGCATGGAATGTTCTTCCACGACATATAGCTTCCAAATTTTCTCCAGCATATGAGCATAGTGGTGAAACTTCGACACCTGAAAGTGGGAAAGGTCAGTACTTTGATAGTTACCACTTTTGAAAAATCCCTATCACGTTGGTTCATAAATAAATACATATCATTGAGGAAGAAATGGATTCTGGTAAAATCTTTCTAGCCTCGATTTTGCTTTACCCTTTCCTTATTTATATGCCAAAACCAGGCCTCTGTAAAGTATCTATCTGATCTGCTTACCTGTTGCATACAAAGGCACCGAATGTGTTAAGAAGCCTCCAGCAGCTACCACCCAACGGGTGTGGAGGCGAAGAACTAGCAGCCTGGCACTGTCTGGAGTGTCAAAGTTTGCCCCATTTGCATTTTTAACTGGAGCAAATTCTTCTTCCCGCAGTACCTATATATATATTGAATAAAGAGTTTGAAATCATGTTATGAATCATACTATTGCTATTCAAAAGAAATTGCCAGGTGGAAATGTCAAATTTACCTCAAAAAGTGCTGTTGAAGGGCTGTAAGGAAATGCATCAAATATGAACTGCTCTAGTTTGTAACCCATTGTATAGCCATGGACTGAAGGAATTTTCTTCTCAGCAAGATGATAGCTGCATAAAAAATCTCTCTACACTAAGCTCCGATAATTGAAGCAGTTCTAGTAATACTTGATCTTTACCATCTCTCAAAAAGAGGACACAACCTAGTTGTTATCCACATAAATACACACACAAAGACGTGTCATGCACTCATGCTTGAATAATCACTCATTTACTACATTTTGAAGCAATATATTAATTTAAAAATAAAAAAATAAAATAAAATAAAAAAACTTTACGTTCTTGGTGTCAAGAAGCTAAATAATCACAAAATGGTCGATGCAAGGATGTAGGGAACAGATTGGGAATATCACATTATGTAGAATATGTTCAACTCTTAGGCTCTTAGCAGTTACAAGTCTACAGAATATAGAAAGGTGGAATGCCATAGATGTGTGTACAAGTCTAACATAGATAGGGAGTAGTGAAGTACTATGTTAACGTTGCTACCAGATTCATTCCTACTTCCTACTGTTCAAGAACCATATAGTTAGCATAGATTACACAGTTATAGATATTCATAGTAGGCAAAATGTCAACTATGTGGGCATAATTGTATAGGAAAACAAATACAGAGTATATATCTTAATAAAGAAGATTAAGATTACTGACATGCTGTCTTTCTCAAGGCCATTTGCTACTTGATTCAGGAAATCCAAAGTAAACATATGCAAGCAAACCTGGAAATAGAAGAGTGGATATCAAGTGACAGGCAGCTAAACGAAACATGTATTTTATTTTATTTTTCCTTGTAAGCAATAAGCGTTCTAGAGAACTTTTCTGAGTTAACACTCAACAAATGTCAAAACCAATTAAAATAATTGAAAGAAATCATTCACCAAAGTGGAGGGAGAAAAACAGAATGTGGTTACAGATTGTTTGGATCAGATATTTACAAAGCAACAATAAAGTATCATTCTTCAGGTGGTAATATGTTTCCTGAACCTTCTATGCTCTCGGAAAACAAGCCAAAATCAACTTCCAAAGCAGATAGTGAAGTGAACTTTTTGGTAAACTAAATTGCAGCATTCAGAATAGCAAATTCAATTCTAGAAAGTAATCTTATTGAAGGAAGAAAACCAGAGGTCATTAAGCAGTAGAGTTAACTGTTGTAATTTAAATATCCAAGAAAATCAGGCATTTGATTTATCTGCTAACACAAAAATATAAAACAAAAAGCAGTGAATTATAGACCAAGCTACAGTGAGGCTGAAACAATCTGAGCTACTCACTGTGGCTCAGGTCCTAATGTTAGTATCCATAAAGTAATACCAATCTTAGTTTCAATTATATCAAAGCATGCTGAAGCAAATCAACTAAAGGATTTCCATTAGCCAGATTAAGACCTATTTTTTATAAAAGGAACAATCAGATATAAATAGCTGAGTAATTGACCATACATTACTCCAACAAAAACGAAGTCGGCCAGTTTCCTGGTTGATTGCGCTTGAAAGTTCAGGATCCAATTCACTATATTCAACCACAGAGAGAGGCCCACCTTTACCTCGTCGTACAAACACACCAACCTTTTCTTGTGGGTATGCCTACACAACCAGAATCAGGGAAAAGATGTTGAATATATAATGTAAAATACAAGCTCACTGTGCCCTATTGAAGGATTTGAAGCAATATTAACCAATTGATATATCTATTTTATAGTTAAAGAAAATGTTCACTGAATCTGGGAAGTTGGAACCCAATTTATCATAGTTTGAAATAGTCATCATGACATTGAAGAAGAAATAATTTACTAATATATAAAAATTTTACTATGCTGTAAGTCTGTAACTTCCATTCATTACCTTTATTTATTTATTTTTATAACTTTATTCCTGTAGAGAGAAACTTATAAATGCTAGACCAACTAATAGTTTTTAAGGAAGGATGCACTAATTGCTGTTATGGAATCTCAAAGGGGTCCTTGTCATGGGAATTTAAAATGCCACCTAAAATGAATATTCACAATTTTCATACTATAATCTTAAAAAGTAAACTTATTATAGCTCATCACTTAAAATCCATGAAAACCTAGTTGCACCAACCAAAACAACAATAGAATTTTAATCCATAGTGGCAAATATGCCACACAAATGATAGGACTAGGGGAAAGACACTAAAATGTTGGGCCTCCTTTATATGAAGTATTACAGATCAAAGTTAATAGTGCCTACAACTGAAATGATTGTTGTGAAATACAGTAAGATACAGAGTGTCACAGAGTATATAAAACTAATTCAAGCATCTTTCATATACAATAAACTCAAATAGAGTCCAATTTAAGTTTACTGGTTGTGTGGAAGGCTTTATCAATCTTTCCATTTTATTGTAAGTACACTAATATTCACAATCATAATACTTGAACTTTAATCAAAATTTGGAAAAGGCTTCTCTGGTTACCCCCAGAGCAATGAATCAACATCTTTCATGTTTTATTTATGAGATTAAATCTTAATTAAAAATTCTCTCAAATTCCTAATCTTATGTATAGAAAGTTGGATTCAAGAAAATGAAATTAAATAAACATCAAATAATAATTTTAAAAAATTACACACCTTTCTTACAACTTTTGCTGCAGCAGATACACCCTTATCAATGAAATAACCCAAAAAGGTTGGATCTGCAACTCGGACCTGTTTTATTAACAGTTATATATAAGAATCAGATGTTAACTTCAATAAAAGAAAGCCATCCAACTCACCATTGAAAGTAAAAAGAGCAGAAAGACTAACCAAAGCATTGTCAACTCCATAGCAATCTACATATTTAATGCCTCTTGTTGCCATATCTTCCAATAATTTTGAATACTTCAATGCTGAAACATTAGTTCAGAATGAATTACTTCTGCCTAGTCTAAGCAATTAAATACAATTCACCATAACAAGAAGAGGAATGTAAATACATAAGTCCACATATTGTACTCCAATTAAGAAAGCAGCCATTGTTTTGTATAAACAGACAGTATTAGAAACAGTAACATACCTGTATAAACTCCTCCATTTCCATCAGGAGACTTAGCTACCTGGGTTTCGAAGGAAATGTCACATTCTAATCTGAACAATACTAGGAAAGAAGAAAAAAGAGGGTAATAAATATATATAAAATCTCGAGTCATATCATCGTCCAAGAATCTTTTCCCCCAGATTCCTGCATCATGATGCAGGAGCCTTGTAGTATTTGGGTCTGACAACTGAGTGAATAAACAAGATAAGCCAGGACAGCTTTAGAAACAGCAATACTGGGATTTACCCCTCCAGTAGCATTATTCCAAATACAGAACAGCTTTAGTTCCTAACTATGAGATTAAAATGTGATCTTATTTAAAGAAAATTATGTGTACTTTATCCTTGAAAAGCCACCAAGGGTTGCACACATGGTAAGGAGGACGGGGGGGGGGGGGGGGGGGGGGTGCGGCAATGCTGTACTATCAATGATTAGTCAATTTTGCTTCGGAAACAACTAACTAACTATATGCCTACAAAAACGTCACAGTGGTTTCCATATGATCTAATGTTAACAGCGGACACATTAATTATTTAATTTATTGTTGCGAGGAAATGTAGCTTCCTGTGAATATGCAACTCTAAGCCTATGAGGTGCAAAAAAACATTTTTATTGTGATAGGAAAGAAATCACCGTACGCTATATGGAGTCTCCATTATAAATCTTCCATCCTTTGAGACACATGGAATTGTGCCCTGCTGGAAGAATGTAACCTGCATCCAAAAACAGTTCCTTTCATTCCAAGTGCCAAAAATAAATGAAAAGATATGCAACCTAAACACCAAAGAACATAATAAATTAAGAGTAATTACTTGATCTTCATCAAGGCCAAAATATTTATGACTTTCAAAAAATTTGTGAGTTGGTTCATCTGTGAATGGACTAGTCATAATGTACCAATGAATTGGAACAATGCCAGCACCTGCAAATTATATACCGCTTAGAAGCATCAAGCATCTGTGAATTAACATCCAGGTGGGAATTGAAGAAGAAGCTCACCTTCATTTGCTGATCTAGCTGCTAATCTTTGGACACGCAAAATTCTCTCAGCTTGGATTTGGAAAAGTGATTTCCCAGACGGAAGTCCAATATCTGCCATGAAAAGGAAAGGACATAAATATATGCTTCTCTCACCTTTGATTTTAATGGAATTGGAGAGGTTTCAGAAAAATCACAAAGTTCCAGAAAATGTAATTTAAAAGAATTGAAAGCATTAATTTGTTAATGGAAATACATAGTAGAAACCTAGGTATGATGAAGCACAGATGGAGGGAACATGTAATTCCATGTGAATCTTTTGCAGAAAGATTGGAAATATTGATTGAATCACATATTCTCCCTCTCTGATTGAACTGCCAACAAAGTAATGAAGACTGCTTGACAAAATCAAATGAAAATGAAATTACTCACTGAAACATCCTTTTGGATCTGAGCTTCCAAGTCGAGTTCCCTGCACCAGAAGTTATATTAAAAAAATATAATAATAAAAAAAAAAAAAAAAAAAAAAAAAAACAACCCAAGAGAGAACCTAAATAAAAAGACATGTGATTGTACACATAAGAAAAAAAACAAAGCCACTTTGTGAACAGATATATGACCACTTACATATTGCAACATAAGTATCCTTAGAATGAATAATATGTTCCCACTATTGGGGGGAGGAGGCAGCAAACTCCTTTCAATTTATTATGGTGTAGTAATTGATAAGTATGATATTTTTAACCTTTAAAATATTATACTTGTCTCCTACTCCAACAGAGGCATAAATGCTGCAACTACTTTAAGCAAGCATAAAGGTCCAGTTGTAATGACATATCAACAACAATTGATCAGCATCTTACCTGCCCACCAGACAGGAGCAACACAGCCAGCTTTCCCTCAGCAATGGCCTTCATACCCACATTCCACCATCTATCTCTATCCTCCACTGTTCGTTCCTCCACCGTGGACACGCAGCTTTCTGGCACTGGCTCTATTGCTGCTGCTGGGAGGCCTTTAAGTTTTAGAGCAAAAAAAAAAAAAGAAGGTAAAATTAGATGCTCTGGGATTGAAAAACTTATTGAGCTACATGAAGACAAGAAATGAACAAAGTTGTGAGCACAGACCTTGAAAGCGAAAGGAGCATTGTATGATCCTATCAATCCTTGGGAGATCTATGTTCTGCAAAGCTAAGAACCTTAATGTTACTAATCTTTACAAGTTTGGATATGCATTTCTATATATATATAACAACCGACACAATCACATTCCATAGTTATAGAAAAATATTAAGGACTATAATTTCATTCTTCTACATAGTAAAAGATCATCCAAAATCTAAATCTATAACATCATTTCTTCCATATAAAAATAACACAGCCTTGAGTCCTTGACCATCTAAACATTCACAATCCGATGAAAAAAATAATTCAAAGCTAATCTTTTACTACACAAACGGTTTTAAAATCAAAAATTAAATCCAGACTTCCAATTTCGCCTTCAATTAGTCAGGAGGGAAGTTCCAAAGTTAGCAAAATTCAAATTGAAAAGATAACTGAAACGGTAATGAATCAGTGAAAGGATGGGGGGGAAATGACCTCAATGTCCTTGACGAGAAGGTCGCGTTCGTCGGCGGAGAGCTCATCCCAGAGGGCAAAAGCGTCTTCTTGGCCATAGTCTTTGAGGCGCTCTAGCAGGGCCTGGGGCGGAGGAGACGCCACGGAGGTAGTGTCGGTCACCTGTTCCCTCATCCTGTGTAGTGTGTCTCCAATCTGAACGATTTTCTCGGTCTAGATCTCTGGGTTTTCTCTCTCTAGATCTATACGTAAGTGTATATATAGGCAGGGAGGAGGCGTCGGGTGAAGACTGTGTGAGCTGTTTTTTTTCTTTTGCTGGCGGTTGGTGGTTATAGAGAGAGAAGAAACAGTGGCGACTGGCGAAGAAGACAAGAATAAAACCAATCCTTTCAAGGTGAGTGAGTTATTTACGGAAATACCCTTCTCCGCCATTGTTTTATCACAAAAGTACTTCACCATGATTTAATCATTCAATTACTATAATAATGCCGAAATTCCAGAATTTGAAACAAAATCAAGCCAGAAATCAAAGTTCAAGACTTCAAGTGTTCAACCCAAAAATTAGCTGATGCAAAGATCTGAATTGTTCCAAAAAACTCAAATTCAAAAAGTTACTCAAAATAACTTTTTCATTCAGCCTTTATGAGCAAGTCATTTTGTACGTAATCAGCTAATATCCAATCGTTAATCAATTAACATTCATTTACCAAACACTCATATGACTTTTTTCTTTCAGCTTGATTAACAGTAGAGGCCGGCGGCGGAGGACGCTTCCGATCACTGCTTCTCCATCAATTTCACGATGTTAAATATTGCGTCCCTGAAATTCGTCTTGAAATATATGCTATGGTTGCACTAAAACTAGAAAGTGATGCACCTTAAGCTTTAAACATATGCACCTAAAATCCAAAAAGTCCTTATTCATAAGGAAAAAAAGTTGTGCATCTTAAGAGTTAAATTCATGCAACTTAATCTGAAAATTGAAGCACCTAGCGAGAAAAAAAAAAAAAATTGAACTTACACAAAATTATCATAATGCCACCACATTTTTTAAAAAATAAAATAAAAATTCTTCATAGCTATTGATTTTGGCTAGATCAGTGATCAAAATTTCACCTTATTTTTTATCTGAGAGCTCCTACGCATTTGATCTAGATTTCACACGCACTTGCTTATATTATGAGATAGATGGTAAAAGAATTGATAACATCTTTTATTTGTATAAATTAATCTAAATATAAATAGAGAGAAAGTTGAGGTTAGGGGTGTTAGCGAACAGAGCTTTCGGCAAATTATTCGTGTTCGTATTCGGTAAGCGTTCTTTTATGTTCGTTTGTTAAAGGTCAACGAACATTAACAAACAAAATTTAGAGCTCGGTTAATAAACGAACAGAGCTTGAACAGTTGTAAGCTCGTTTACTAAGAGATCGTGAACAAGCTCGTTTGTGTTCGTTTACTAATGTTCGTGAACAAGCTCGTTTATGTTCGTTTAATAATGTTCGTGAACAAACTCGTTTGTGTTCGTGTTCACACACACACACACACACACACACACACACACACACACACACACACACACACACACACACACACACACATATATATATATATATATATATATATATATATATATATATATAGGAGTGATCACATATGGCATATACATTAGGTGTGGCAGTGTGGTCAAATAAGAGCGGTCTGATCATTTCAATCCAACGGACAAGATTATAATTTTATGGCGCGCCTATTTATCTATAGCGTAGCAGAGAGGGGTAGATCTGTCATTTCATTCTATTCAAACACTGTGTGAAGGTTCCTTCTACAAGTCATATCGATTCATAATCCCAAAGCACAAGAGAACCGCTCCACTTCTCTCACTCTCTCGGCGACGACGTACTCTCCTTACTCCACGAAAGACGGCGAATAATGGTGAAAAAAGGCAAGGAACCGGCGCGCATGGGTATGAACTCACTGCATTCTGTAATATATACTCGAAATAGACCTTTTTGTGTGTTTTAATTGATGATCGGTGTATACTAAATAGGTAATTAGAGTATTTTCAGTGCCCTACATGCTTCCACTCGTCCATATCGTTTTTGTTCTGTGCATTGTCAATGGCATCGTGTAATATATTTCAATAAATACTGGTGTAATGGTGTATTTTTTCATTGTGCTTGTGTGTTGACTGTAGTGTACATTTCAATACCTACTGGTGTATTCTGACATACCTCAGTTGAGTATTGTAACCAACATTGTTGTGTGTTTTTCTTTGATATTGGTGTATTTTTTGATTGTGCTTGTGTGTTGACTGTAGTGTACATTTCAATACCTACTGGTGTATTCTGACCTACCTAAGTTGAGTATGGTAACTAACATTGTTGTGTGTTTTATTTTGATATTGGTGTATATTTCACTAAGTAATAGTGTATATTTCACTAAGTAATAGTGTATTCTGGACTACATCACTTGAATATAATAAAAAACATTGTTGTGTGTTTTAGTTTTATATTGGTGTATTATTTCTTGTGTTTGTGTTGTTGATTGTAGTGTATATTTCAATAAGTAATAGTGTATTCTGGACTGCATCACTTGAATAGAGTGAAAAACATTGTTGTGTGTTTTAGTTTGATATTGGTGTATTTTTCAACATTGAGCTTATATCATGCAGACACCAAGAGGAAAACATTAGAACTAGAAGATCCCCCGGCAGCAAAACAAATAAGGAGGCAACAAGCCCTTGACTTCATTGATAGAATCGAGGTTGAGCTGCAAAATGAAGATTCCGAGCAACAAAATCAAGATGAGTCCAGCTCAAATGATGAGGAAGATGTACTGGATGTTGAAGACAAAGAAGCTGGCCTGAAGATACGACCCCTTCCCACCCAATTAATGAACCCAATTGCAGACCTAACTGATCCCCAACGCAGAAGTGTAGAAGATATTGGACTAGGGAGACTTCTTGACCTGAATATTACCAATGTCCCAAGGAAGTTGGGGCTCTGGCTTGTTCAAAACTATGACGCTAGGAGCAACACGTTAAACCTGCCAACTGGTGAACGACTACCCATCACAGAACATGATGTTGCTGCCACAATGGGGCTGCCGATGGGAGGCATTGAAATTGTTAAAAGGGCATCCAAGGAAGTGTCTACACTATTGGCTGGCTGGAGAGCAATGTTTGGAAAGACTAACGGCCACATCACCCCCCATATTATGTCTGAGCATATGTTGACACTAAATGCTACTGATCCTTGGTTCAAAAGGCAGTTTGCACTGCTTGTAATGAGTGTATTGGTTGAGCCCCAAGTCAATGGTTATGTCAACCAAAGCTACATTGATAACTTCCAAAATGTTGACAACATCAAGAATCTAAATTGGTGTAGAATGCTCATCAATTCGCTCATCACCAGCAAGCAGTCATGGCTGGACAGTGTTGATGGGAGATACGGAGGACCAATTATTTTCCTGATGGTAAATATACTACCAGCAAGATGCATCTAATTTATTACCCACCGATCAATTAATACTCTAAAATGCAAAATGCAGATATTCTATGTTGACCGTGTGGTGCTCTACCGGAGGACAGTCCCAAGAAGCTTCCCTGCCATGAAGAGCTGGACATTTAAGCTGCTCCGTCAACGAGAACAAGCAGAGATAAAATCTGGTGGCTTTGGATATGGCCGTCTTGAAGATGCCTTGCCATTGGACAGCACACCGTTCAAAGAAGGAAGTCCCCCCCCCCCCCCCCCCCCCATTGATACAATCTGATGTTCGACCCCAACCACTGGCTATTGAAAGTAATGCACCACTTCCCACTGCGTTACAGGTAAAACAGACCACTTGAGTCACATTCATGGTGTACTCCCTTATATCTCTTTTACTGTTTTTAAACCTATTGACTGTTGTGCATCTTACAATGCGGTACCTTAATCAGTTTGTGTGAATAAGATAATGTACTATAATGGTGTGCTTCTTAATAGTATTTAGTGCATATTTTGATATACATTGGTGTGTTTTATTATATCCTTGATGTGCATATGCAGGAGTTTGTTGATGAGATTACTAGCAACACAAGGACAATTGCAACAAGTTTGCTGAGAATATCCAGACTGATTGAAAATGCACCTGCTGCTGTTTTGGAACATCATACATTCAAGCAAGTTTTTGAGTCTGCTAGACAAATGCTAGGATTCAAAGCACAGGAAGATGGACAAATGACATTTACCCAAAGCGAAGACGCCTACTGGAGTGACCCTGAGTTTCTGAAAGCAGTTGATGAGATTGTACGTGCGGTGAACAAAAGGAACTTCCTAAATGATATACCCTCTTTCAGCCTGGGATTGTCATAGGATGAACCAAACAAAAGCTGGGCAGATGTGAGTGAAATTGCACGTGACTACCAGGATGTTAACGAAGCTGATGAGCCTGCTGAAGTTCAGTTGGGTGTGGATGATGATCAAGCAGCAAACAGACACCAAGAATGCCCTGAGACAGCTCAACAAGAACCCCTCTCTGACCACCATAAACAGGCCTTGCATGAGACTCACGCAGCTGACACTAATACTGAGGTAATAAACTATAATAAATCCAACATTAACACACTATAAAACCTGATGCTCTCACCTTTAAATATTACAGGTCACACCAGAATGCCAAGGGCAGCCAGCCCCTGCATCGAGTCCACCCCCCCCCCCCCACCCCAACCAGCAGACAAGGGAAAAGGCCCAGCTAGAGTGCACAGCCCAATTGCACGAAGGCCGATCACATACGTGCTTGACATTGACACACCATTATCTGCAACAGAGGAAGCTATCAGGCAGTGGGTGTTGGAAAATCCTAATCCAAATCTGTAAGCACAACACATTCTAGAAACAATGGTGTGCTGTTTATAAATATTTGGTGCATTATATAATGATGTTGGTGTATAAATATCCTATGCACATTGATGTGCTATTCTATGTGATATTAGTGTATATTATGTTAACTATTGGTGTGTTTATACTAAATGATTAGTGACTGATTGTGTTTTATACCTAACATATTTCTTTTGTTTTCAATAGGACCCAAGAACTGTTCAAGTATGAAGGAAGGGTAATCCATTGGGAAGATATGCTGTCAATGAGGCCAGATTCACAGATCCCAGTCTCTATAATTGATGCTTGGGCAGCCATAATCAACATCCGTGAGTCAGAAAGAGGATGTACGAAGTTCATTGCTTCGTTATGGACAACAGTGAGTTGAACATATAAACCTAGCTTCAACTTTAACCAGCTTACAGTTCTAACAAAAATACCCTTACAATTTGCAGTTGTACACCGTTGTGGACCCACATGGAGATGAGGACGTTAGATTTGCAAGATTCAAATCAAAGTACCTTGAAGACAAACTCATCGCTGGCGACGTTAGGTGGAACAGCATTCTATACGTAAGATGTTAATATACATTTGATGCATCCTACTGTTTATCTATTTGTGGTGCATTACCAAGATTCGTACTAACCCCCGTAAAAAACATATCTTTTTTCTATAACAGTTTTTGTTTCCAATTGTATCATGCAACCACTACTACCTGCTTTCCATTTGCCCACTAATGGAAAGATTTGACATTATTGACAACTCTTCTGTCACTGTGAAGAAAGAAAACAAGTATGGGACTGTGCTTGCAAATATGGTAACGCACTAAACCCTGTCTGATTACATATAATTACTGCACAACTACAACAAAAAATGCTCAGATTGTATTACTTGATGCAGCAAAAATTCTTGTCAAGGTTCTTGTCTGACCTGAAATCCTCATACAAGGCTGAGAAAGTGAACAAGGTGAAATCTAAGATAATGAAAATGCCTTGGAGAGATGCACACAACAAGGTAGATTGTGGGATCTTTCTCATGCGACATTTAGAGACTTTCCGAGGGCAGACATATGATCAGTGGCAGTGTGGACTTCAGAAGGACAACAAGGACCAGTTGAACAAGCTACGAGTTCGATACATGGCTGCCCTAATCATGTCAGACTTAAATGAACACAAACATAGAAACATTCAGCAGGCAGCAGAGTTCCGGCTTTGAGCATGCCATTAATGTGGAAGAAAGACACTGTGAATATCTCTGACTTGACATGTTTTTTTGTGGTTTTTGATGACCAGTAGTTAATTTTTGTGATGCCAGACATCTAATCTGACAACTACATGTGCTCTTTTTGCGCTATAACAATGCACTATATGCTATAGTAAAACGCACCATGATATATTCTAACATGCACAAATATTTCTGTGTTATAAAACGTCTGCATACCTGTAAAATACACCAACCACACAGGTAAACACACACCATTGATATTTATTATAATCAATTTACATGATTCAGTATACACTATTCTGACTGTAATATACACTACATTCAAAACCATAATACATGGTTGAATATATATAAATATGCACCACTATATGACTGAAAACGCACCACTGTCTATTATAAAATGCACAATACCAACCACACTCCAAAAAATCTGATTCTGTGTTATGAATCATCTGCATACCTTTAAATACACCAATCACACATATAAAACACACCACAATCACACATGTAATTCAGAATACACTATAAAATACACCAAATTGTGTGTCAAAACGCACCGTTATGTATTGTAAAATGCACAATTCCACAATGTCTACAAAATCCGAATTCTTTGTGTTATAAAATGTCTACACAACTGTAAAAACATCAAATTCCACAATACAAACCAACTAAGAAAACAACACAAAACTCTAGCCATTTAATGGGCACGTCCTACTATTATGGCCATATTCATCACAAGTATGGCATTTCCTTGATTGCTTTACGCACTTATTCACAGCTTTCTCCCTTGCACTCTTCATCCGCTTCCCGCCGCCCTTGTTCTTAGCTTTAATTGGATCACGCACCTCCACTGTTGACCCCTGAGACACATCACCACAAAATGATTTAATCACACTTTCTTTGCTGCTACCAGCTACCCCATTGTTATCCTCACACCCATCTTTGATAAAAAAACTCCCTTTGCTCACAAATAACACGTCTTAGTTTTTCCAACCGTTCTACATTACCATCAGCCAATCCCACGCAAGCATAAATTTCAGACCGCATTAGATTAGTAAGCACCCTAACATTGTCCACTTTAGCCGATTGGTCAACAACCGTATCATCAATATCAAATATTGGCTTCAAACTAGCACCTTTTGTCCACCGAGACACCAAATACATAGAAGGAATTCTCTCAAGTCCATGATCTTTAAACACAAAAAAAATATGCCTACACACCAACCCCATCCGCTCAAACATCTTGCATGAACATATAGCACTACAGTCAGCCAACAAAACTCCACAGACCATGCCTTCTTGTCACCATCTTTTATCCCATAGCACACCTTACCCTCGCACTCACACAAAGACACCACTCGACAAGAAAAACAACCTTCACAAATCTCTACTTGCACATCATAAAATACAGAAATGGTATAGACATCCATTGCATGTTTCTCCAGCGCCAATGGAGTCTTCAAAACAGGAAAGCATGATTCAGAGTCAGCAGTCAATTTTGCTTGGGCATGTCGTTGTGCACTAATAGCACTATCAAAATGCACCAAAAACTCAACCAAACTGGAATGACCATTGGAGAAACTGCCAAAAAAACTATTTTGAGACTCTGATCGAGATGTTGTCCTAACAAATCCCGACATAAACTCATCATGAAAGTATGGAGATGCCCAAAATGTACGAGACTCAAACAAGTAACGAAACCAACCATTATCACCCAAACCATATTCCTCTATAATACGACTCCATAAATCCTCAAAAGTTTTGGAATCTATAGATTTGTTCCAAACAATGCCATTCAACTTCCTCCTAAACACCTTGTCCTTAGCTAAAACCGGTCCAACCTTCTCGCCAACCTTGCACATTATATGCCACATGCAGAATCTATGTTTTGATGTACCAAACACACGAGCAACTGCAATCTTGACAGCTGGATCTTGGTCAGTAACGACACAAATAGGTTCATGACGCATGGTTTTCTTAAATCTCTCCAAAAGCCAAACATATGAGTCTATGTCTTCCCTCGTAAGTAAACCAGCACCAAATGTGATGGATCTCTTATGGTTATCAATTCCAGTAAATGGGACAAACACCAAATTATACCTACATAATGCACAACCCAATAACTACTGAATATACTAAATATAACAAAACACACTATTTGAAATCAAAATATGCACCAATATATTATACATAATACACAATAACTATAAATTACTAACCTGTTAGATCGGTATGTAGCATCGAATAAAACAACATCACCAAACAATGCAAAGTTCTTCCTTGATACTGCATCTGCCCAAAAAACCCTTGTAAGCTGATCAACATCATCAACGTCATATTCAAACTCGAAAGCCTCACACAATTCACGTCTTTTAAAAAGCGTATCTATGAATAGTTGAGCATCACCATTCAATATGTATGCCATCAAATCACGCTTGAAATTCTTAAAATCCACCCCAGTAGCCCCAACATTGGAATACTCACCAACAATCTCCTTAAACAGCTTATACGACCGAACATACCCAATATTTGCCCGAACACAACTTGCAATGAACATTTGATGGCCAGTATCAAGACTACGATTCACCTTTAAAAACTGCTTAGCAATAATTGAACACATCACATGAGTGTGTCGTTCCTCCAAAAAATGCACAACAAACAGTCCATTAGACTTACGCTTAAACACCACTCTAGCCTTGCAGCCAACCCTATTTGTCACCCTCCGTCTCTTCACAACAATAGGCTTACCATCACCAACACACGTAGATTGAGTACTATAAATACTCTGTTTAAACCCCTCTCGGCTACAAAATACCTGTCTCTCCACAACAACACCATCCCTCCTCCTCCGAATTGTACCCTTTCTACAATCAAAACCAACATACCCAGCATACTGTTTATAAAAAACAATAGCACAATCCAATGAATCAAACGTTTGCCCCACCATAGGCTTCAAACTATCAGTGCAAACTGGACGCCAATACTTAGTCAACCCAGGAGACGTTTCCAAAACACATGCATTGTCTTCCGCCTCAACATCAGTCAAACAGTGTTCACTGGCACCCTGACCACTAGTCTCTACAGCAACATCAGTTGAATTCCCTTCATCACACTGACTCCCACTTCCTTCTACGCAACCATCAATATGACCACCACTGCCTTCTACACCGGCATCAATTGACGTATCTTTATCACAAACGAAGCCCACCGGGTCCATAATAATAGCTGCACACCATGTATATATAATAACACACTAAAATAACCAATGCATGACATTTGGTAACTACAAAACACATAAAATACTATACTACTTAATATGCACCACAATCATTCAACTTTCACACTATATTAACACAATAACACACAACATCGTAACAACAACAGTGACTTATCTCACCACCAGAAAAATATCAAACCAGATAAAAAAACGCTATACTACATTAATATGCACCACGATGATTCAAATTTCGCACTGTATTCACGCATTAACGCACAACGTCGTACAGCAACATCGACTTATCTCACCCCCAAGAACAATATCAATCCATATAAAACCGATATAACACATCCATGACATAACAAACGCATATTATTATGATCAAAATAAAACTACAAACGTCAATACATCAATACATACCATTCTCCATCGCACAAACTGCCCGGTATACTCAGATTGCCCTACCAACTGATCTCCGGCGACCTTCTCCGATTTGCGAACCGATCGCGATCTTGAACTTCCCGAAATTGTGATGTGATCGCTATCTTGATCTTCTCTTCACCAAGTTGCCGATTCTCTCCGAGTTTACATATATAGAACAGAATAGAATAGAAATTACCTTATATACATTCCCGTAACCATGTAAATGAAATTACATAACTACCCCCACTTACCAAAACGCGAACAACTCTTCCTTATTTTTGAAAATACGCCTCTGCCGTTAGATTGCCTTGATCCAATGGTTCAAATATAACCACACTGCCACACCTAACTACACTGCCACATTTGAGCATTATTCTATATATATATATATATATATATATATATATATATATATATATATATATATATATATATATATATATATATATATTAGTTTTGTAGTTGTGTTGTTTGTTTGATTATTGTTCGTGAACGTAGATTATTATTGTTTACGAACGAATTGTGATCATGAACATGTGCAGGTGTTTGTTTATTAAGTGTTCATGATGAATATGTTCGTGAACGTGCTTGTTAATAAACATGTTTGTGAACGTGTTTGTTACCGTTAATGAACACGTTTGCGAACGTGTTCACGAACGTTAACAAACACATTCGTGAACATGTTCGTTAACGTTAACGAACACGTTCATGAACGTGTTCGCGAATGTTAACGAATGCTTAACAAACGAACACGAAAATGATTTTCAAAAACCTTAACAAACGAATATGAACACGAACACTCCAAATTCTTTAACAAACAAATACGAACAATCTCCGTTCGTTTATGTTCAGCTCGTTAACAGTCTTAGTTGAGGTAAACCACAATATGTGTCTCAATTGGATGGCCTATAAATTTTTCTCATCTAATGACACATTATTTGACTGTTAGTAAAACAATATTTATAAACTAATTTTAAGTTAATTGATAAATTAAGTTGTATCTTGAGACAATTAGTCAAAGAAATTCATATTATATTATTCTTCTCCCATAATGCAGGATTCGAAGAAAATCAATTAATGCATGATTGGGGTGGGGGGCAAAGGTTTTTATAAAGCTAATATAATACATATTTTAAATAATATTTTCGGCTGTATCAAGAGAAGCATCAATTACTTCAATTATATAGAGTTTAAATACGCACAACTGTAGTACGGTCGTCATTACATAATAATGATGATGATACAAAGTAATAATAATAGCAATAGCTACTTTCAAAAGTTTAAGTAAAAATGTAAACAAATAGTGTATGAGAGGTGGCAACGAGCAGGTTGGACCGGCTCTGTTTGACTCGTCATTGACCAATTTATTTTTTTGACTTAATTCGATCTAAAAATAAAAATTAAATTTTGATTCGGTATATAATTCAGTTTAAAATAATAATAATAATAATAATAATAAATATTAAAAATTATATACTGACTCATATAAATTAAGTTTCTTTCTAAATTAGCTTTACATGTTTATTATATATTTATTTTCACCTATTTAACTTAAGAATTATTACAAAAATAAATGAAGAAATTAATAATTAATAATGTAATAACATTTTTTTTTGAATGCTACTGGCATGTAATAACATTTATATAACAATAAGTTTACATATTGCAACTACTAACTACTATGAGGTATGTAAGAAGAGTAATTATCCAATTTTTTTAAAAATAAACATTTACAATATAAAAAAATATTTTTAAGCAATTGATAGGAACCAATCAAATCATGAATACAAGGAGGAAAGGATAATCAAACCTCCAGACCAAACTGAGAATAACAATCGAAGCTCGAGCAAGGCAGTTAACAACTTGATTCGTTGATTGACGAACACACCTAACAGATAAATCTCTAAAAGAGCTAATCAAACGTTTACAATCATTAATAATAAGGCCTCTAAAGCTAAAATCTATAACATTATGAGCCAAACTCTTACTCAAATGCGGACAATCTATTAGTAATTACTAATTAGTATGGTAGTTAAGCCATTAGATAGCTAAATAGTAAATGCGTAGTAATTTAATATGCATAAAACCAGTTTCACAGCTTCTAATGTGATAAGCTCATGGACCATTAGTCGTTTTAAGACACATAATACTTTTAAGTATTATATATTTGATGAAACGATCTCACACAAAATTAATCGGTAATCAGATAATAATATGTGTTATAGTTGTTGTGAATTGTGATTACAAAACTTATAAATCTGGCAATCGTTATGCTCTGGACCCGTGTCCAGCATGCATGCTGGACACGGGTAACAGTGCCGTTAGGCACTGTTATTTTTATTTTTATTTTTTTAAAATATTTCAGATTCGTTATAGGAGTATATGTTCATAATTTTATTACTATCTGTTCATAATTGTAAGTTCATAATGTCAGAGCTTTATGTTCATGATTCAATAACTGTACATTCATACTTCCATAACTGTACATTCATACTTCAATAACTGTAACGTCATAATTTTCGAAGCTCTATGTTCACAATTTTAGAGCTCTATGTTCATAATTTTATCACTATATGTTCATAATGTCAGAGCTCTGTGTTCATAATTCCATAACTGTATATTCATAATTGCATAACTGTACATTCATAATTGCATAACTGTACATTCATAATTCCGTAACTGTACATTCATAATTAAATAACTGTAAAATCATAATTTTCGAAGCTCCATGTTCACAATTTTAGAGCTCTATGTTCATAATTTTATCACTATATATGTTCATAATTGTAAGTTTTTTTGAAATATGGCGTACCAATATATTAAATCAAAAATTGAATGATAGAGTCAGGAGGGATTAAATCCCAGTACATAGAATGATCCTGATCATGGGTTAATCTAGCAAGAGTATGCGCATGTGAATTTAAAGTTCTTGGAATAAAACTAAGCAAACAATTAACGAAACTACTAATAGCTATCCTGCACTGCTCAACCAGAATTCCAGTATACGATAAATTCGGTGTAGTTACTGCATGAACCGCATTCTTTAAGACAAGACAATCCGTAAGAATATCCACCTCGTTTTGTAAGTTAATAATGTTAGAATTCTGTATTTATAATTTTATAACTTACATTCATAATGTCATAACTGTCCATTCATAATGCCATAACTGTACATTCATAATCCCATAATTGTACATTCATAATAGCACAAACGAATAACGCCGTTAACGGCGAGACAAAATAAAAAAAAATTAACTGAAATAACGCGTTTTTCTTAAAAACGACGTCGTTTTGGACTCATGTCCACAATGCATTGTGGACACGGGTCCAGTGCATAATTTGCCTAAATCTGCTGGTCAGTAAATTTTATTATTTGGGTACCATAAAGGCCCACTTTGTAAAAACCTGATTTTCTGAATGGTTTAAATTGGGCCTAGATTTAATGCCTCCACTTCGTACATTCTTCTCCTGGCCGTCATGTTCTTAATGAAGGAGGCTCTTATGAGTCTTACCTACTTTTAAGACATTTTAAGTTTCATATTCAAATATGATTAGTTTTTGTCATTTTGTGTATGACTAGAGAGCTTTTGGTAGCAATAAAAATTTAAAAGCTGATAAAATAGTGTAATATTTGACTTAGAAAATGTGGGTAAATTGAGAATCTAATTCATTGACATCATGAAAAGTAAATCTCACTTTAAAGGGGTTATGATTCTTTTTTCAAGTAACTGACAATCTACCAAATTTATTCAATTACACATTTATAACCATTATAAAGAATAACAATACTGTTTATCGAAGAAATTTGACTCTCTCAACACATTTTATATAATATTTTTTATATTTTGAATATTCTTATTGCAGACTTGAATTTTTTTTGACATATAATTTATTAATTTACAAGTGATTTATTATACTCTCAATTGTTCATTATGTTTTTTTTTTCCCTTAATATTTGTATATAACAAGGATATATTTGATGCTTACAAATTTTTCCTATGAAAGCTTAAACAAATCAAACATTTTAATTAATTTATAGATAATTTAATTCTTATGTTTTCAGGGTAACACCGAACATGTTAATGAATTTTTCTTGCAAGCTTATTCTCATCAAATACATTATAAATATTTTTTCAAGAATTTAATTGATAAAAAAGTATCAAACGTCACCTTAATGTACCTACTTATGAAATATGTGACCATACAAAAAAAAAATTATAAATTTTTTTAAAGACCTACTTCTTTTAAGCTAATTATTATTGTTGTTATTATTACTATTATTTGGTATACTAATGTAATATTAGAATTTTTTTTTTTTTTGAAATTTCTGGAATAGGGGAGATGGGCAAAGTTGATTCCTGGGTGGCGAGTTATCCCGACAATTGGACAATGTTACAATTTCCCAGATTCTTCATCTTATCTGCAATTGTGCATTGCTTTTAGGAGGAAAAACCAATGTAAAACACTGTACATTTTTGTTTGTTTTTAAAAAACAATCTTGAAGGACGATTATAATTGAATTTGACCGACAGATCTATAAATTTTTTAAATTACTAGTAACAATAATCTATTTTTTT